TCTACATAATCCCTTTCCTTTAGACGTTTATGTTGTTTGCAGTTCATGGAATTTTAAGCCACACTGGGATGAACACCCACTATTCATTAGCTGGTGACTGCTAATATATATATTAGTCAGCTATTGCTGCCTATTGCTGCATAATAAAGTGGCTTAATAAAAGGAGCAGTTATTTCATAGTTTCTGAGTCCTGAGTCTGGTATCTTTTAACTGGTTCTCTGCTCAGGGTTCCATGAGCTGCAGTCAGGGTGTTGGGTGGGCTATGTCCTCATCCAGAAGCTCACCTGAAGAAGGCTCTGTGTCCAAGCTCCTTCAGGTTGTTGGTAGAACTCATTTTTTGGTGGTTGTAGGACTGAGGTCCCTACTTCTTGCTGTCACTGGGGGGCAATCTCAGGCACTGGCCATGTGGCCCCCTCCATCTCAGTAATAGAAACCTCCCTTGTGTTGAATCCCTCTGACTCTTCTATAGCCAGCAGGGTCAGGCCTACCCAGATTATCCCCATATCTTAAGGTCAACCGTGCCCAATGACAACACAGTCATGGGACCGAGATACACCACATTCCCCATCCAGGGATGATGCAGGATGAGAAATCTCAGGAACGCCTTAATTTCTGCAACACACAGCCCTTAGAGACACATTGCTGCACATCTGTCCCACAGCTTCCTGAAAGTTGAGTTGCTAGGTCAGTGCAAATGGACCTTGGGGATTTTGAAGCAAGCAGTTTTGCAACAGAAGGAACATGAAGATCCCTGAGAACTCTGTTTGGAGCTGGCCCCTCTGCCTGGTGGGGTGGCCAGCAAGCAGTCTGCTCCACCGCTCTCTTAGCTGGCCGCCTCAGAGCCAGCAAGTCCACCTTTGGGGGTCTCAGGGCTTATCTGTGCAATAGGGAGACTCACACCTCTTCTCGAGAGGAGGCCAAAGGCATCTGTTGTCAGGAATCCCTAAGACCACTGTCAGGTTTGGTAATTCACTAGAAGGATGCACAGAACTCAGAAAAGCTCTTATATTCGTGGCTGTGTTAATCACAATGAAAGGATACAGTCTAGGATCAGCAAAGGAAGAGGATGCATAAGGCAGAAACCAAGAGAAACCAGGCACAAGCTTCTGGTTGCAGACAGCACTTAATTTTCCCAGCAACGATCGTGACAACACACACAGAATATTGCCATCCAGGGAAGCACACTCAAGCCTTGTCCAGGGTTTTTGTGGAGGAGGAGGGGTCACTCATGCAGATATGGCTGATCACCCATCCAGAGACTGAGCTGATACCATGTGACCAAAAGCCCCTACCCTATTGTTCTCTCTTTTTGGGGGGGATGTGGGGAGGGCAGATGGCATGTGAGATCTTAGTTCTCTGACCAGGAAGTGAACCTGTGTCCTTCAGATTGGAAGTGCGGTGTCTTAACCACTGAACCGTCAGGAAAGGACCCCTCATCCTAAATCATATTGTTATTGTGGACTATTTGGCATGGCCCATGCCTCAGGTAAGCTGATGCTCTTATCAGTCAGGATATTCCAATAGTCTAGAAATGACTTCCCAGGTGCCAGTCAAGGGCCAGTCCTTTAAATGTGCAAGGTTTGTTCAGGGTTTGCACAACCCACGCCTTTAGAGTTTCTTCTTTACTGCTCTACAGATGGGGTTCTAAGAGCCCTCATGGTTCCAGCAGAAGTACCAGGGAAGGCTTTGATTGGGTCACTGTGAGTCACATGACACCCAGGAGCCAATCACTGTGGCCAGGCTGCTGGACTGGTCTGATTGGTCAGGCCTGGGTTGCTCCAAGGCTGGTGGGGAACTAGCCCCATCTGTGTGGTAAGGAGTAAAGGTGAGTTCCACCAGGAGGAGAAATAGAGAATGGGCATTCGAAGACACTGATGATGCTACACTGGCTGACCCCAGCCAGCACTCAAGTTGTCCTTTAGGGAAGATGTGAGATGGAGGCGTGCAAAGGTCACCCTGTTGAAGTGCTCAGGAGACCTGAGCTTTCCCACACAAAGCTCCAAGTCGCACCCCTGAGGGCAAGGGCTGGGCTGACAGGGTACACAGAAGGCACGGGTATACGTTTTGATATGAAAGAAAAATCCATCCATCCAATCTCTGAACACAGCACACACTGTCCAGTCAGCACACCTTTGCACATACTGTGCCTGAATCAGGAGCAAGCACCATCTGACACCCCCCAAAGGCCTCCTGTGTCCTTTAGGGTAGCTTCATTGCCCCTCTGGCTCCCTACCACCACCGTGTTCACACCACTGAGGATGGAATGACCCAGGGGATGGATACACTAAAGCCCCCACCTGGCCCTGGCATTCAAGGCCTATTCTCACCTCTTGGCCTTAACCTGCAGTAAGATGCAGAAACAGCTGCATGGGCTCTGGAGGCAGGTTGACCTGGGCCAAATCCTGCCTGTTACTCCCAGATAGTGGGACCCTAGGCAGGATTCATCTCCTCTCTGAGCTTTCATCTGCTCGGCTCATAATGGGCACAACCAGAGCAACCATGAAGAAGAGGGGCAAAGGAAGGAGGCACGACCAGCCTGACTCCATCATCATTAAAAAGCTATTCTTCAGGACACGTGAAACCTGCCAAGGGGACACAGAGACCCTCAGCATGGAGCAGGGTCAGAAAAGACTCACAGGTGTGTGGTCAGTTGCTTTTTTTTTTTTTATATTTATTTATTTGGCTGCTCCAGTCTTAGTTGCAGCATGCAGAATCTTTAGTTGTGGCATGCAAACTCTCAGTTGCAGCTTGTGGGATCTAGTTCCCTGACTAGGTACAGAACTTGGGCCCCTGCATTGGGAATGCAGAGTCTTAGCCACTGGACCACCAGGGAAGTCCCTCAGTTGCTATTTGACAAAGCCGTCATAGTAACTCACTAGGGGAAACAAAGTCTTCCCCACAGATGTTTCTGCAACAGCTGGACATATGCGTGCGTATTCAGTTGTGTCCAGCTCTTTGTGACCCCATAAACTGTAGCCTGCCAGGCTCCTCTGCCCTGGTATTTTCCAGCCAAGAATACTGGAGTGGGTTGCCATTTCCTACTCCAAGGACCTTCCCCACCCAAGGATCAAACCTTTATCTCTTGCATCTCCTGCGTTGGCAGGCAGATTCGTTACCAACTGCACCACTGGGAAGCCCAACTGGATGGCTATGTGGAAAAATATGAACCTCAACCCCCAACCTCACACCACTTAGAAAAGTTAACTCAAAGTGGCTCCTGGATCTCAATGTAAAAGTTAAAGCCATAACAGGTTTAAAAGAAAAACCAAAAAATCTCTACAAACAGCTCAGCAAATATTGACAAAAAGCATGTGGAATGAAAGGAAAAAAATTGACAAATTGGACTGCATTAAATTTTAAATGTCTGTTCTTTGAATGAACAGAAAATGAAAAGTGAGGAACTTCCCTGGGGTCCCAGTGGTTAAAACTGCCATGCTCCCAATGCAGGAGACCCAGGTTCAACTCCTGGTCAGGGAACTAGATCCCACATGCCACAACCAACAGTTAGCATGCCACAAGGAAGAGATCCTACATGCTGCAACTAAGACCTGGTGCAGCCAAATGAATAAGAAAATGAAAAGTGAGACACAAAGTGGGAAATACGTTCACAATACACCTGACAGAAGGCTTGTCCCCAGAGTATATGATGAAGAGATGGGCACCGAACAAGGCTGCTGCGGGTCCGCAGTGGACTAACGCCAGTGCTGATGCACAGTCAGTGCTCAGGAAAGGCAGCAGTGATGACCCTCACACCCAGGCCAGAAAGTCGCCTGGCCAGCCCACAGTCCACCTGGCCGCCCCCTCAGGCCAGCTTCCCAGCCTGAAATCAGGGAGACTGAGCACAGAGGGGGTATGCTGCCTGAGATGCAGGCCTTCTAGGCCTGGCCAACCCACGGTCCCCACCCCAGCGCCTCCGATGGAACCCCGTTCCCGTCGGAGGCCAAAGTAGAAACCGAAGGGGACTGAATGGTGGAGAGTAAGAGCAGTTCCAAGCCACAGCCAGATGTGCCCTGAGAGTAATCCAGGTGGCCCCAAGAGGGCCTGGAGCAGGCAGGGAAAAGATTGCGTTTCAAGGCCTGACGGCCACCTTCTGCTGGGTAGCTGTGGCCAGTGGCTTCTCCTTCTGGACTGTAAGCGGGGGTGTGGTAAGTTGCTGCAGTCATGTCCAACTCTGTGATCCTATGGACTGTAGCCCGCCGGGCTCCTCTGTTCATGGGGTTCTCTAAGCGAGAGTACTTGAGTGGGTTACCATTTCCTCCTCCAGAGAATCTTCTGAACCCAGGGATCAAACCTGCTTCTTTCACATCTCCTGCACTGGCAGGTGGGTTCTTTACCACTAGCGCCACCTGGGAAGCACTAGCAACAGGGTGGGCACGAGCCAAACACCTGTGTGTCTCCCTCAGATTTCTCCTCTCCTGGAGGCAGGCTAAAGCAGCAAGAAGGAACTCAGGTTGACAAAGGTGCCAAACACTGGCTCTGGCTGTCCTGGTTGGGACGGTGGGTGGCGTTTTGGGGAGAAGCTCCTACAGCCCTGGGTGGTCAGGAAAAGGATATGGGACGCAGCTCCTGGAATCACCCCCACCCCTCCTGGAGGCCCTGCAGGGTCCTGCTCTGCTGAGCACCCAGCTGTATCGCCTTTGACACCAGGCTCCATCCTGCTCCAGGGCCCAGACACGGTGCGTCCGCCCGCTGCACACCCAGACCTCCGCGGTCACTAAGGGCTCAGCACGGTCCCCGCTGCGCTCCCACCAGGGTCCCCAGGTGCAGATGAGGCAGCAGTGACCTCCTGCCGAGTCTGACCAGGCGCCCTGAGCACAAGGCCCCGCCAGGCCAGGTCTGTTTCCCACTCAGCACAGAGGGTCTGCTGTGGCCCGAGAGCAGACAAGCCCCCTCCAGTCCCAGCCTGGCCACATCCACCGTCCTCTGTGACCCTGGCGGGGCACAGAAGGCCTCCGGCTCAGCCCCAAGTGACGCTGAAAGAAGGTTCCAGAACAAGCAGGGAGCGGGGTGGGAGGCTTTTATTTCACTTTGTGTGGGTGGAGGGGGCCTGGACAGAGGGCAGCAGGCGGGGCAGGAGGGGCTGGAGCTTGGAAAGGGGCTAGGCAGGAGGAGGGCTGCCCCCAGGCCTGTTGGGAAGAGGACACTGGGACTGATCCCTGCTGGGACCTCACCCCAGGGGTGGGGTGAGAATTGGGTCTGGAGCAATGAGAGCCCCCTTGCTCCAGGCTGGACGTGGGGCCCGGGCTCTGCCTCACTTTCCTCCAGTAGGGCTCAGTCCCTCCTGCTCGCGGGGCCACGTGACCCCCAAACCTCACTGCCCCCGCCCCAGAGGAGGGGGCTAGGCCAGTTAGGGCAGTGGACAGGGAGCCTGGGGGAGTTAGGGAGCACAGGGTGGGGTCCACGGTGAATGGAGGGGATGGCGGCCACCTGGGCGGTCAGTTCCTGGCAGCGATGACCACAGAGAGCGCCACGCCCCCCAAGGCGACAGCAGTTGCCCCAAACAGCCACTTCCACGGGATGGACTGTGGATAAAGGAGAGGGAGGAGGCAGCTAGACAATGGTCAAGACAGATGGTTTGCACCTCAGCTAGCAACTACGGTCCCAATGGGCCTCCCAGGAAACCACTGCCTGAAAATGCCTTTCCTGCCTCTTGGAAAATTCCTACACCTGCACCAAAACTCAAGCGAAGTCTCCCCTCCTCTAGTACACCTCCCCTTCCCCTCTGCAGGAGCCCTCCAGATTGTGTTGCATCTTCTGCTCTGGCTCTGATCACACAGTGCTGGGGATTCTCTGTGTCTACGTCCCCAGCATGATCCAGCACGGCGCAGTTCAGGAAGACACTGATGTCTGCACAACGAAGCAACTCCCTCTGCGTGGTGTACCCTGCACACAACCCTCCTCTGGGAGCCTCCCTGCGCCCGCCGGCCCCTGCTCACCCAGGCACCCTTGCCAGGACACTTGGCAGGCAGCCGGCTGGGGTTGCCCAGCATCTTCCGGTACAGGGCGGTCTCCGTGCTCCTCTGGGCCGCGTGCTTCTTCACCAGCTTCGAGAGCTCTGCATGGATCGTCTGTGAGAGAGGGGCATTGGTAAGAGCAGAAGCCAACCACTGTTGCTAGCAGCCTGCCTCCCTGGGCCCGGAGCCCCGCAGGCAGTAGAAGAGGAGACCCGTGCCCTGGTGTGGGGGCCTGCCTCCCTGGGCCCGGAGCCCCGCAGGCAGTAGAAGAGGAGACCCGTGCCCTGGTGTGGGGGCCTGCCTCCCTGGGCCCGGGGGCTTGCTGGGGCTGGAACCACTGGGACATGGGAGTTGTCCACTACTCTCTGGGCGCTAGCAAAGTAGGGGGTGCTGTCTGCATCCTTCGAGGGAGCCAGGAGATGGGGTGGAGCAAGGGTGGCCGGAAGAAAGTTTCCAAGAAGAAATCTTCTGGGAAGGAAGCGGAAAACACTGACGCTGGCCAGGCTGGCAGTGCCCTTGACCTCTGGAACCCCTGCTGAGGGTGAGCGCCCAGACTGCCTCTGCAGGGGTCAGAAAGGGTCTCAGCAGGCAGGCTGGGGCCCTGCAGTCACATACCCCCTGCTACTGCCCAGACAGAAACTATAGGGGAGAGCCACAGCAAGAAAGATAAGGGGCAGACCACAAGCAGAACTTCCTGACAGGTCAGCATGGCAAGTCTCAGGGTGCCCCCGCTCTGCTCACCTTGTTGGAAGGTTCCAGCTTCAGGGCTGCTCTCAAGATGGGGATGGCCTCACTATACTCGCCTTGTTGGGCCAGCACCTGCGGGAGCAAGTGGGGAGTTATCACTTGGACCCAAGCTGGGCCATGTTCTCCTCCAAGAGACCCAGCCCTGCCATGCTCCCAGTCATCTGACTAGTTCCAAGTCTATCTCCAGCAACTGCCCCAGGGCTCCAGTCACCCCATACTGCTCCCCGGAGCCCTCAGACTACCCAAGCAGCCGCCAGACTCGGTGTTCTTTCCCGTGAATGTTGGTTTCACCGTGGGCAAGTGGCCCAGGCACTGGTCTCTCCCCCTCCCTCACCACCTTGGCTGACTCGAGAAGCCACCGGATGCTGCCAAAGCTTTGGCCACATCGAATGGTTCAGAGCCAAGCATGTGGCTCAAGCCAGCCAATGAGATCCAGCCGGAACCAGGCTGGGAGCACTGGGAGGCCAGTTGCTTAGCAGAAAGAATGGAGGCCTGGCACTTTTGGCATAGCAGGAGGGAGCATCTTGAGAGAGGCGTGTGCCTGAGAAATGAACACAGCAGACGGACACAGTTAACTCCACAACACTGCTAAACACCTGGATCCAGCCGTGACTGAAGCCATCTAGGCCTGAAACTTGGCAGGTCCACAAGCCATCAATTCCTCCTGCTTGAATCTGAGTGGGTTTCCATTACCTTTGACCAGCAGACCCAAACAGGTGTGAGGCTACAAGAACAGACAATCTCATTTCCCACAAGAGAATTCTTTCTAAACCCCGAAAAACAGGGACAGCATCTTTTCTCTCCTTAATGTTTCTATACCCAGAAAGTACTTTAAAAACGCTGGCTGGCCTGCTCAGGTCTCTGACAAACACACTAAATGACCCAGCATTTGCTTATACCTTAGTTTCCTCAGTTTACTGCTAAAAAATGCTAAAGGCACCCCCTCTCCCAGCAGAGAATGAACGGAGACAGGGGCAAAAGCAGTGGACAGAGACAGTGGACCTGAGCTCAGGTCCACTCAGGCCAAGTCCCCCTGCGCTCCACCTGCACTGACTCAGCAGCTGTGTGCACCTGGCTCTATTTGCAGGGCTAAGATGTAGCAGGGAATGAGAATACAAAGGGCTTCCCCGGTGGCTCAGTAGTAAAGAATCCGCCTGCAATGCAGGAGCCACAGGAGATGCAGGTTCAATCCCTAGGTCAGGAAGATCCCTTGGAGGAAGGCACAGCAACCCACTCCAGTATTCTTTTGCCTGGAGAATCCCAAGGACAGGGTAGCCTGGTGGGTTGTATCCACAGGGTCGCAAAGAGTCGAATGTAACTGAAGTGACTTAGCACGCAGACATACGACATACAAAATCCCCACCCTCTGAGAAGGGCCACGGACAAGAGGCATGACATGTGCCGATGCTGACAGTGACACGGGAAACAGGAAGACAGGGCAGAGGGGTTGTCGGGAGGCCGTCCTGAGGAGCTGACATCAGAGCAAAGGCTTGGAGGAGACGAGGGAAGGACGCATGGGAGTGAACAGGATGTGAACAGCCCATGCAAAGGCACCCGGGTAGCAGCAGACCTAGCCCCGGTAACAACCAAGAGCAGACTGGAAGGTTATGGCAGGGGGAGAGACCAGATGGCTTACAGCCTTGGAGTCCAGGAGAAGAACCCAACTTTTACTGAGGGAGAGTGCAGTCACAAAGGGTTACACGTGAGGAACAATTACGGATGGGCCAGGTGGCAGTGCTGGGCATCAGAGAGAACCTAAGACCCAGGGCTCAGTTCAAACGTGGCCTCAGTCAGGAACTGCTGTGACCCCAGCCACACCCTGGCACCCATCTGAACCTCAGTTTTCCCATCTGCACCCTGGAGAGCGTGGCTGGATGATGCTTATGCCCTTCTCAAGCCTGGGGTGGGAGACCAGCCTCACTGCCCTGGGCTGGGGGAGCCAGCCTGCCCACTGGGAGCCCGCGAGCTGCAGCTCACCTTGCCCTTGCGGAAGAGAGCCTTGATGTTGTCAGGCTGGTGCTCCAGCACAAGGCTGCAGGAGCGCAGCGCTGCGCGGTAGTGATCCAGCTTCAGCTGCGAGGCCGCCAGGTTGTTCAGACACTTCACCTTCAGCTGCAAGAGCTGCTCCTCCTCCTCGAACGTCATGTCCACTGCGGGGGACAGCGCTCAACCACAGCTGCTATGAGCACGCCTCTAGCCCTCCCCGCAGCCTTCCAGCTGCAGAGGCACTAAGTGACCCGGGCCAAGCCCACCCCTCCGCACCTAGTAGTGGAGGAGCCTGGGGGAAGGGCCTCTGAGTGTCCCGGTGACAGGAGATGGGGTTCCCAAGCTCCCAGTGCTGTGGGACCTCTACCACCTACTCCTTGAGGGGACCTCAGGCCTCTCAGGCCCCAGCTTTCCCATCCTAACACAGGCTAAGACCAGCACCACCCTCAGGGCACTCCCAAGGAGTCTACAAAATGGAGCCTAAGTGAACAAGGGCCTGATCACGGGACACGTGGATTGACAGTGTCTGCAGTCAACCGCATCTATCTGCACTCCATAACATTCCACTGACCTGGGATATAAGTCTAGAGAGACCTAAGGAGGCTTAGTCACCCAGGGAGCTCAGTGGTAAGAATCTGCCTGCCAAGCAGGAGACGCAGGTTTGATCCCTGGCTCGGGAAAATCCCCTGGAGAAGGAAATGGCAACCCATTCCAGTATTCTTGCCTAGGAAATTCCATGGACAGAGGAACCTCGTGGGCCAGTCTATGGGGCCGCAAAAGAGTTGCCACCACCAGTGATACCTATAGGCTAGACATACTTGAACATCTACCCAGATTCTAGAATTCTTTACAACATTCTGAATCTGGGGCCCTCTGTGGCTTGAAGTTTCTAGCACTAGTGGGGATGGCTCCGCAGGGAGGTGCTGGGATTCAACCTGGCAGTCACCTTTGGCGCTGGAAGTGATGGCCTTGATGGCGAGGTCATAGGAGTTGGCGGCCAGCACGAAGTCGGCCCGCTGATAGTGAGCGTTGCCACACTCCCGCTTCCGATTGGCCAGGGCCACACGCTCCTGCCCCGTGAGCATCTCCAGGTCAGGCCCGTCCACAGCCGTCTTCAGAGTCACCTCCAGGCACAGGGCCGCGTGCGGGGGGATGTATGGGCTCCTGCTGGGGGTGGGGTGGGGAGAGCACTCAGACCCAGCGGCCACCGTGACTGGACCCACCAGGCACGCTGGGTTGGCTCAGAACGAGCAGGAAAGGGCTGTCAGCCCCTCCTCAGTAAAACACAGGCAAGTTAACCCTGGCTCCCCTCGAGCTCTGTGACCCGGGGCAGGGGTCCGCTCCTGAGCCTCTGGTTCCTTCTCTATGAAGGGTGCAGGCAGACAGGATGAGACGGGGACCGCCTGTCCCACCCACTCGGGACCCCCCCCCGCAGGGACCCCCGTGAGCAGCAGGCTCTCACCTGCCCTGGGGGCCGTAGCAGTACTTGGAGTCAGCGGTGACCATGGCCGTCTCCCCCACGTCCATGAGCGGGACGCTGAGATCCAGAGCCTGGGGCAGGGGACCAGAGCTCGTGAGCAGTGCTGCACAACCCCCACGCCCCCCTCGCCCAGCCCCGCCCCGTCCTCACCTGGATGACGTCACAGTCGCCCAGGGTGAACGTCAGCTCCGGCTCCTCCTGCACCCGCGTGCCGTTCTCCAGCGAGGTCTGCAGCTGGACCGTGACCACCTGGCCCTTGGTCGGGCGGCTGGAGCCCGGTGGGCCTGGGACCAGCGTCTTCTTCCTCAGCAGCCCATTCCCTGCCAAGGGGAGGGAGCAGACAGCCTGTCCCAGAGCGGCCCGGACAGGTGGCTGCCTCTCCGGCGGGTGGCAGAGCACCAGGGCACAGCTGAGTTTTCAGTGACCCCTCTCCCACTGCCTGGGCAGGTGACCCCACGCCTCTGGGCCCCAGTGTCCCCGGCTGGACACTGGGCATGAAAGTACTGATTTGGGGACTGACGATAGTGGCCCCGGGATGGGCTCAGTGAAAGCTGGCTGGTCTGTTATCTTAAGAAAATCAAGGCGGGCGGACATCCCTGGAGGTCCAGTGGTTAAGAATCCACCTTCCAATGCAGGGATTGATCCCTGGTTGGGGAGCAAAGATCCTACATGCTGCAGGGCAACTAAGCCCGTGGACTGCCACTGCTGAGCCTGCTCCCCACAACTAGAGAAGCTCACACTTCAGGACAGAGAAGGATCTGTGCACAGCAGTGAAACTCGGGCACAGCCAAAAATGAAGAATGGATACATGAGGCTTCCCTGGTGGCTCAGTGGTAAAGAATCCACCTGCCAATGCAGGAAACACAGGCTCAATCCCTGATCTGGGAAGATCCCACATGCCACGAAGCACATAAGCCGGTGCGCCACACCTATTCAGCCTGTGCACTAGAGCCCGGGAGCTGCAACCCCTGCAGCCTGTGCTCAGCGACAAGAGAAGCCAGAGCAACGAGAAGCCTGCACACTAAAACGGGAGAGCGGCCCCTGCTCGCCAAAACTAGAGTAAAGCCGGAGCAGCAATGAAGACCCCGCACAGCCAAAACCAAATTAATTAAAAAGAAAACTTCTGTATAAAAACACATCTAGTTAATTGTTAAATTAAAAATAATTTTTAAAAAGAAAATGGAGTTCCCTGGTGGCCTAATGGTTAGGATTCTGAGCTTTCACTGCTGGGGCCCAGGTTCAATCCCTCATCAGAGAACTGGGACCCCACAAGTGGCCAAAAGAAGAGAAGAAGAAAAATCTCGGCTCAGTGAGGGCAAAGCGCTGAGAAAAACCATCCTGCCTATCACAATCAAGGCAGCAGGGACGCCCAGAAAAGAGACTCTGGGGTGCTACCCTGTCCTCTGTCCTTTGGTTCCAATCTCAGCCCTGAGACATCTGGATCTCAGTTTAGCCAGCCATTAAGTGGGGTGGCTGGGGCTTCTCCTGGTGACACCCAGTGAGTAGCCTGCTTGTTAGTAGAGTACCTGTGATGCCAGGAGTGTGTCTGACTAAAGCACCACATCACACGGAAAGACCTAAAAGCAAAAGTAACCCCTAATTCCCCCCTCCAGCCACCAAGGAGACCACTATGTTCCTCCCCATACCCCAAAAAACTTTGGGGATGGCCAGATGACCACAGCCAACACCTACTGGGTACCAGGCACAAGGCCCCACGCCCTCACAAATCCACTCAAGGAGACCCCCAACGATGACACCCGCTGTCATCCCATTACAAGTGCTGGGGTGATGGAGGGCTTATACCTATGGGGCACAAGAGACTGGCGTCATCTGCAGCCACGCAGTGTACAAGAAGTACCTGTATTCTCTAACAGTCCCCAGGCCTGGAAAACACTGCCATGAGTCTGAGCAGACCCTCGTCTAAAGATAACGGGCAGGGAGATCTGTTCATATTGTGGAATGTTCTAGAGTGTTCCAAATTTCTGCAGTGCCCCCCAACTCATACCTGCTCCTGCATCGTTTCAGAATCACTTATCTAGTGGATGCCGAGGGATCCTGTGTCTTGAGGTTTCTGGACACTAACAGTGGATATGTTGGTAGGATCTCAGCTAGGCGTTGTCTCTTGCCAGGGAAACTCTGGGTAAATCACAGCCTCTCTCAAGGCCTCAGTTTCCTTGTCTAGAAGCCTGGATTCTGGCCTCAGAGAGTGGTTGGCTCAAATATAAACAAACAGAGCTATCCTCATGCTCACACAGGGAGCAGGGCAGTTCTTCGCATCAGTAGAGAAGAACTTCCCAAACTTTAATAGAGCCAAGGGGGCTGTTCAACCTTGGACAAATGCCTTCACCTCTCTGAGCCTGTTTCCCTAACTGTCAAACAGGGATATAGTAGGAATTACATCACAGGGTTGCTGTGGGGATAAAATTAGAGGATGCACAGGCCTGGCAAGAACCACTGCTTAGTAAACATCACCTGGTGTTTGTTTTTTTTTTAGGCATAGTAAAGTCCGTATCTGTAGTGGAGATGAAATCAGTACCAATTTGGTTTTACCAGTGTCCGTATCATTTGATACTATTTAGCATCAACGGTGATAGTAAGGATGTGCTATTATTTGTGTGGACATTAGCGTTATTTAGTGTATTAAATATCAGAACTAGGAGTACTATGTTTATCTTCCAGAGTTGCTGTGATGGAGTACATGGTGGAGGGTGCGGCACATATGGGTTCTCCTAGTTTCTCTTCCAGGACTTTTCTGAACACTGAGCACACTCATGAAGACCACAAATGGGATGTTCCACAAATCTATTTGACCTTAGGACACAGTTCGGGGGCGGGGGTCAGGCACTGGTCAGACAAGTGCCAAGAAAAGGAATGGGGGTTGAGAACTCTGTGTAGCTCTGAGCAGGTGATTCAGCGTCTCTGAGTCCTGTGAGCAGCTCTGAGAAAGCAAGTCATATGTGTGTGTGTGTGTGTGTGTGTGTGACAGAGAGAGAAAGACAAGAAAAGGGCTCATAAACATGAAGTGTCTCAAGCAATTGCCTGTGGCTAGTGATCACCGTGGTTACCACGTTTTACTTCCAATCTCCTTCATGACAGAGACAGGGAAACAAGGCTTAGGAGAGGAGAAGGCCTAGGCCAAGGTCACTCCTGAACCTGAGCTGTCTGGGCGCCATGGGTCAACCCGAGCCACCCCTGCTCCTTACCCAGGATGTCCAGCCACTCGTCGGGGGCCGGGGCAGGTTCAGGCTCGGGCTCCATGGCGGCCAGGAACTCTCGGGCCAGGGCCCCGGGCTGCTCAGCCTCCTCCAGTGGGGGCTGCCCCACATCCTCAAGTGGCGGCAGCTCACTCAGGTCCTCCTCTTCTTCCTCCTCCTCGCCCTCAGCATCTTCCACCCCGTCCAGCACCTCGAAGTCCTCAAGTGGTGGGACCCCAGCAGGTGGCGGAGCAGTGGGCTCAGGGTCTGCAGCAGAGGGCTCAGCACAGGATGCCATGCTGCTGGGGGGATGGGAATTGGCCCTGGTGGGGGGAATGGATGGGGGTAAGAATCCCACCACACCCCTCAAATCTCCTCTGCCTCCATTCCCCACAGTGCCCATCACTTGCTGTGTGACTCAGGGGCTCCAGGCCTTAGTTTCCTCATCTGCACAGTGGGTAGAGCAACAATCCCAGTTTGTTCCAAGGACTTAACAACCCACTCACCGAACCCTGGCATCAGGTTCAAACAGCAGTAGCTATTATTAGAGTTAATTATTATTTAATCTTTATAAACACCTTGGGAAGTAGAGAATATCCCCTTGCAGAAAAGGAAATTGAGGCCCAGAGTGGCAAAGCCATTTGCCCAAGGTCACAGAGCAAGCCAACCACAGGATGCAGGATTTGGAACCTGGGGCTTTTATCTGCCCAGAGTGGGTGCTGGGATTTTTTTTCCCGGGGACAACCCCTGAGATCTTGGGGAGGCCATTTTTAGAGCCCAAGAGAAAAATAAAGTGAATCTTTACCAGGGCTCCCCACCTTCAGTTGTCCCATCTCCTAAGGGAAGCCTCCCAGAAACCCCAAGGCATTCCTTCGCAATACCTTCCTGAACCTAATACCACCCCCCCCCCAACACCAGGGACCTTGGCCCAAACCATTCCCTAGGAGCCCCTTCTCCTCTCCTCAGGCCTTCTGACCACCTTCGAAGTAGCCTCTCCCTTACAGAAGTGGTCGAGAACCCCACAGCTTCTTCCCTGGACCATCAAGAACTGACCCCCTAACCTAGGCCCCAAGCTCTGGAGGTGATAAAGCCGTCATTCTAACCCCACAGCATCTCCTCCCTAACTCTCACCTGCCTGCTCCTTCCTGAGACCCTCCCAGCCCCAACCCCCACAATCCCCTGCGCTCGCATAAATAGCCCTCCCCCCACCCCAACCACCGCCCCCAGCCCGGACCAGCTTCCCCCACAGCTGGTCTGTCGCCCCTAAACACTTTGATCTCCCCAGACGCCCCCTTCCCAATCCCATAACACCCTACGNGTACTGTAGATCCTAGTCAGTTCACAGGTAAGTACCGAGCAGCCTGGCCAGACAAACCGCTTGTCTGACATTCGGCTCATCTGCGAAATGGGGATAAACACCTCTATCGACGCACTCTCACCTTGAGGGATATTGGGAGGACAGCATTAAATGGTACTTTCTTAAGGAACTCAGGTTTGCGGGTCAGGGCGGTTCTGAGACTGCTGGATAACCCACCCTGAATCCCTAGTTACTTCTGTGGATCACAGGCTCCGAGGAAGAGCGACGTGCCCAAGGGCACACGGAACCTTGATACCCCTCCCCCACCCCACCCCACCCCTCGGCGCAACGTGGTCTGTCTAATCCCGGGAAGGTTGCCGGGTGCAAACCGGAGGAACTCCATAATGGCTAGGTTAACTGCTCAAAGAGCAGGGCCACTGGGAGGAATCCCGCCTCCCTTCCTCCCCTGCTGGAGTATGATAAGGTATCCATGGCCCCAAGGAGAAGGTGGCAGCTTTGATTAGAAGGGTTTTTATGGCTCCTGTTTTGAAAGGAGGGCACTTACTCCTCCTTCACTGTATTTTTTTTTTTCTTCCCGGCAGTTACCCCCTTCCAGAATGATTTTGCTAATTCTTTGGCTTCCCCCAGCTCTTCTCCATTCTGGAAAGAATTTTGCCTGTTTTATCCTTACCACCTCCTTGAATGATGCTTAGGGTCTATGGGAGTTCAATAGATGAATGAGTAACTGAATGAATTAATGAATAAATGAAACTCTGGCTTTTGGAGGTAGCTAACATTGTGGGAGGTAACTCGCTTTTGGAGATAATTTGTCAGATAGGAGCTCTGAGGTCCCCTCCTACTGGAAGCCCTCCCTGACCTCCCCAAGGCAAGACTAGGTGTTTTGTTTGGTGCAGTCTTGATATACTTCATAGGTGATTCACTTCTGTCTGTGCCATCAGTTGACTTCTGCCTCTCCCAGTAGACTTCTGCCTCTCCCAGTAGATTGGAAGACCCTCCAAATCTGGGAAGAATATGTTGTTTCTCATCGTTTTAGTCCTGAGACCTACATAGTGATTGTGCCTTGCACAAAACAGGGAGAGTTGTCCCGGGAAATCACTGTGAAAGGAAGGAAGGCTGGCCTGTCAGAAGCGGCGGTAAGGTACCAGGATTATGTGAAATTGCCTGGGAAGGAATAGCAAGTAAACTTTGGGCCAGTCCTGGTTCTGAGGGACTTGGATTAATTTCTGCTCATCTCTGAATCTGTTTCATCTGCATAATGGAGTCACTTACCCAACCAGTCCCACCCCTGTTATAGGGGCAGAAGGAACTATAGTAAACAATAGTACAAAAACAATTAAAATGAACAAATATAAAGTAACAACATCAACAATAATGGTAATAAAATAGTGACTGACAAGTGTCAGAGATGTAGGCCAACACTTTACGGGTACTTAATCCTCACATCAGCCTTGTGAGACAAATACTCTGATATTTGGAAGCCACGTCATTGGCTGTGCATAGAGCTGCAATTGTCATATTCTCGCAGTGAACTGAGCTTTTTATTATTATGACATGCCCCTCTTTATGCTTCTTGCCTTAGAGTGGACTTTGGTATAAAAATCACACACCTATTCTCCATTGGTGCATGTTTTAAATGCTCCATTCCCTTCCACCTTTATGTATCCTTGTGTTATTCATGTGCCCCTTGTAAGCAGCAAAGAACTGGGTTTTGCTTTTTTTGGGGGGGGGAGGGGGTTGCTTTTTGATTCGGTCTGCCCATCCTTGCCTTTTAACTAGGGCATTTGGTCTGTTTACATTTAATGTAATTATAGACATATTTAGACTTAAATCTGCCTTTTTATGTGTTTTTTGCCACCTAATTTTTCTCTCTCTTGTCTTCTTTAGGATTGGATGTGAATGTTTTAGTAAGACTCTTATCCTCACTTTACAGAGAGGAAAACTGAGGCACAGATTAATGAAGGATAAGATGGGCCAGGTCTTTTATACCCTTTGAACTTCTCTTCTAGCCAGGCAGCTGGATATTGCACAAACAATAAAGCAGATAAATATCTAATTGCAGCTTTGATGAGTGCTGTGCAGGAAATAAAACTGGAAAATGTAGGAGAAAGGTTTCCTGTCCCCAGCCTTAGGTTTCCCCAACCAATGTCACCATCGCTCGGCTGACTGGGCATTCCCACTCCTTCCCACCCTCTCTCTCAAATACACAAAAGAGGAAAACATTTTCTCACCTCTACTCCACTGTGCACAAAACCTTTGGAGCCAGCCAAGTCCCTTTTGGCCTCAATGTGCAGCCCCCACCCCTTCCAGGACCCTTATAAATGTTTCCTGGCCTCCAACAAAGCCCAAGAGACCCACTGAAAAGTTTCTGCAGTCTGGGCCTCTTCTGCTACAGCCTGCAGACAGAGTCATGGTTCTACTTTTCCCAGCAGCCATCACCCAGACTCTTCTCAGCACTGACTGCTGTCTGGCTCATGAGGTTCCAATGTTTGTAAAAGATCCAAACCACACTACATGCTTTCACACCATCCTGTCTTTGTTCCTGTGATCCCTTCAGCCCTGAATGATTGTCAGCACCCAGAAAACTCCTAATCCTACCTCAAAACTCCATCCAAGGAACTTCCCAGGTGGTCCAGTGGCTAAGACTCCACATTCCGAACGCAGGGGGCCTGTGTTCAACTCCTGGTTGGGGAACTAAATCCCACATGCCACAACGAAGAGTTTGCATGCCGCAACTAAGATTATACATGCTGCAACTAAGATTTTGCATGCTGCACCGAAGATTGAAGATTCGATGCACTGTAGCTAAGACTTGGCAGAGCTGCTCTGGCCACCAGGCTCCCTATGGGACACAGCAGTGAGCACACGCTTGGAAGCAGGGCTCACCATCTTGGACCATCAGTGTCCCCCACATAGGCCCCTGCATCTGGAGAACCTGCATACTGACTTCCCCAACCCCCAAGATCTATCCCACAAAGATGCTTGGAAATGGGCTTTTTGAGACCCCAGCTAGGAAATCAGGAGAAGATTCCTGAAGAGTCTGCGTCCTTTTTCTTCTTATTCTGTACAAAACATGCGCATTAAAGCTGCTCTTTCTTTTTTTTTAATATTTATTTATTTGGCTACACTGGGTCTTAGTTGCAGCATGCAGAATCTAGTTCTCTGACCAGGGATCTAACCCGGACCCCCTGCATTGGGAGCACGGAGTCTTAGCCACAGGACCACAGAGAAGTCCCAAAGCTTCCATTTCGTAAAAAAAAAAAAAAAAAAAAAACTCCATCCAGATGTACCTGCTTCCTGGCCTTGAAAAGTCTTCATACCCAATTCTTCAGGTTCCTCCAGCCTTCAGTCTCTCCTCCCTCTAGCCCAACACTGTTTCCTTCAGGGCTGGGAGTGTCCGTGTTGGACTCTGCTTCATTATCCAAGGCTAGGCAGGGACTGAGTATTTTCTGGATCCTCAGAATACAGGCCAAACCCTGAAAGGGTGGCTAGAGTTTACTAAATAATTTTTTAACTTGTTGGTTGAACTATAAGAATGTATAAAAATCCTCATCAGCATTAACTTTTCAATGAATGAAGGCAGGAGGGCATGGGAGTAATAATACAGTTTACCCACAGATAGCCCTCAGTTTATCAAGGGCTTAAAATGGGCCAAGTGTTATAAGGAATTAATCCTGCAGGATTCATAAGGTTAAACCACTTGCTCAAGGACAGTCAGCTAGGATGTGACAGCTGGAATTTTAACTCAGATATGTCCATTTCTTGGGCCCTCAAAGAGTATTCCATGTGCCCAAAGGCATGTGTGTATCTCTCAAGCTCTTAGCAACCATAAGAGACAGATGCTGTTACCTAGACTCACAGTTAACAAATTGAGACCCTGAAAAATTAGACATGTAATACAGAGCATCACATGATAAGACCTCAATAACTAATGATACTTGCTAACACTTACCTAGTGCTTCCCTGGTAGCTCAGAGTAAAGAATCCACCTTCCAATGCAGGAGACATGGGTTTGATCCCCGGGTTGGGAAGATTCCCGGGAGAAGGAAATGACAACTCACTCTAGTATCCTTGCCTGGGAAATTCTATGGACAGAGGGGCTTGATGGGCTACAATCTATGGGGTTGCAAAAGAGTCAGACACCATGTAGTGACTAAACAACAACACTTATCTAGCAATTTCTATTTGCTCTACTCTTTCATGTGTTTAACTTGGGTTATCTAACTTAAGAATGCATCCTATCTCAGTATAAATCATGGTTTTTGGTATAGACACAAGGGGACAGATAATAGAACTAAAAATAGATGTGTGTATGCATGGGTTTTTAGACATACATGTATTTCCTAACTCTGACTGATGAGAGAGTTTCTAAGCAATACCACCTGGGTAGCAGTGAGCACACCCAGCACCTAGATCTTGGTGTCTAAATACCATTTTCCAAGAAAAGGAACCAGGCTCCTTGGAGAAAAGACTGATAGCAGGGATATTCCAAAGTAAGCACAGAAAATCTTGTGGTGCCAAAAGTAAGGAATTACTCACAGAAACACTGAAACATATTAAACGGACACAGGAACTAACTTAAAGGGGCAGCAAAATAAATAATATAGAAATTAATTTTAAGCCACAAAATAAATACTCATGACTTCATGGTGATATAAATACTTGAATAAATACATAGTTGAGAAGAATGGACAGCTCTTGTTTACAATAGAATTACATTAAAAGGCACCTTTATGCAAACAACCATAGTAATAATTATTGCTGCCAGGAGCGATGGATGACTGCTAAAACTAAAAGGTAAAAAATATGTTAAAAACAAAACAACAACA